ATAATATATATATATATATATATATATATATATATATAGTATAATATTTATATATATCTATATATTATATATATATATATATATATATATATATATATATATATATATATGCATCACACACATATTTGTATATATATATATGTATATATACAAATATTTATGTATATACATTTTACTATATATATATATATATATATATATATATATATATATATATATATTATATCATGCACACACATATTTGTATATATATTATATGTATATATACAAATAATTATGTATATACATTTTACTATATATATATTATATATATATATATATATATATATATATATATAATGTATATATACAAATATTTGTGTATACATTTCTATATATATATATATATATATATATATATATATATATATAATATGTATATATACAAATATTTATGTATATACATTTTACTATATATATATATATATATATATATATATATATATATATATATGTATATATACAATATTTATGTATATATATATTATATATTATATATATATATATATATATATTCATGTATGTATATGTAAATATGCATACATCGATTAACCAAACCTTCCATAGAACTGTATGAATTATGCCTATTAGAGAAGAAATCCAAAAAAGAAAAAATATATATTCATTGTGTTACATTTATTAAAAAATAACAATAAATTACACCACTGTAACCCTTGGTAGCCAAACCAGCCGGCACAACACATCCAACAGTGAATTACAGTGATATGAATCATACAATCTAAATATCAACAAACTTTAACAGAACAATAACAGAAAACGTCAATAACAATAACAAGCAATCAACATTCAAGGAGAGAGAACAAAACAATAACATTTTCAGTGTACGACTACATTCTCTGTCGTAGTTGAGAAGTCGTTCACAAATTAGTGATTGAAAAAAGGTCATATCAAAGTTATTAATGGAAGAGACAATTAAATACAGTCAGTCTTGCTAACTTTCTCTTTCTCTCTCATAACTTCCGGTCGTTATGTTAAACAAGTGGTCAGAGTTTTGTGGTTCTTGCTTTGTAATTGTTCAATCGTCAAGTCATATGCTAAAACCTGAATCACTCTCGATCGGTAGTTAGGCTGTCACACTTAGCAGTCGGTGATCTGTCGGTACTGCAGGTTGAAGCCTCGGTTGGCGACGTCACCGGTTTCGTCGGCGTTGGTGTGAACGTACATGACGAAGGGCTTCATGGTAGCTGGGAGAGACAAGAGGAAGATTTTGGAAATTTCAGAATGTTGGAAATTGGCAGTAAAATGTTTCCTTTACTTTACTGAATGACTTCAATGCGAGTTTGGAGGCCAGAACACTAGTCCTCTCTCTACGTGTGTTTATAGTTGCATAAATATATATATATATATATATATATATATATATATATATATATATATATATGTGTGTGTGTGTGTGTGTGTGTGTTGTGTGTGTGTGTGTGTGTGTGTGTGTGTGTGTGTGTGTGTGTGTGTGTGTGTGTGCCTAGTATATGTCTGTGTGCATTTGTGCGTATGGGCGTGTATGTGTTTGTACGTCTACGTGCGTGCGTGTGCCGTGCGTGCGTGTGTGTGTACATGCGTGTGTGCGTGTGTCTTTTCGTGTGCGCGCTTGTGCTGGTATCTGTCTGTCTGTATTTCCTCAACAACTGTGTACGAACTGAAAGGCGCTTCGGAAGGCCCGCCAGAAACTCACAGGTGACGGAGTCCGGGAACCCGAGGCCGCAGAACCTGTCCACGCGAGTTCTGGTTGTTGTCGACGCCGCCGGGATGATCACGTAGTCGGTCGTGCACGCGCCCCGTGGTGCCCGCCGCCGCCGTGCCTAAGGGGTGGTGGGGTGGGTGGGGGGTGAGGAAATAATTAATAAATATTGCAGAAGGATAATATACCAGATTCTTGTGGCGCTTTGCATGGCATATGGTAATGAATGGTATATTAGATAATTTTGCTTATTGTTGAGTTAATAGTAGAGGGAGATATAAACAGATATCACACACACACACATACACAGATTCAGAAAAAAGATAGAGGAAGATCCCAAAATAGACAGAGAAAAAAAACAAATAGAAAGACAGAAAAATAACACCCAACCGAACATAAGACAAAAAAAAAAAAAAAAGAACGAACCGAACCCCCCCACACACAAAACTAACCCCCCCCACACACACACACGAAACCCAACCCAACGCCACCCAACCCACCTTCCCCCTTACCGATAAGCGTGGGATCGGTCGCAGGAATGTTCCCGTCGAGAGTGAAGCTGTTATCTCCAACCGTCGCGTTCCTCTCCCAGATGATGCCGCAGTATCCGTCCGCCATTTCGATGCAGATTCCGTAATCCTGGTTGGCGATCTGGCGAGAATCTGGGGCGAGGGGGGGGGGGGGGTAAAGGGGTGAGTGGAAGAACGGATAGATAGGAGAGAGTGGTGAATGTTTTGTGAGAGGGAGGGAGGGAGGGAGGGAAGGAGAGAAAGAGAGGGAGGGAAAGGGAGGGGGAAAGAAAGGGAGAGAGAGAGAGAGAGAGAGAATTTTAAAATTACATATATCCACTTGTCTCTCATCATCGTCTCTACATCCTATCCATGAGTAACAAATGAATCCACCAATAAAATATAACAAATAACAATAACCAATAACAATAACGTCAATAACAATAACAAATCCACCAATAACAAATGAACTGAAAATCTAAATTATAAAAGTCAACATTGAATATTCCCAGAACGTTAATCCTATCTATGTATCTATCTATTCGTACAATTCTATCTATCAATTCCGTCTATCCTCTCTACATCTATCTATCTATTCGTACAATTCTATCTATCTATTCTGTCTTTTCTCTCTTCATCTATCTATATTCATACAATTCTATTTATCTATTCTGTCTATCCTCTCTTCATCTATCTATCTATTCGTACAATTCTATCTATCTATTCTGTCTATCCTCTCTTCATCTATCTATCTATTCGTACAATTCTATCTATCTATCTCTCTTCATCTATCTATCTATTCGTACAATTCTATCTATCTATTCTGTCTGTCCTCTCTTCATCTATCTATTCGTACAATCTATCTATCTATTCTGTCTATCCTTCTTCATCTATCTATCTATTCGTACAATTCTATCTATCCTCTCTTCATATATCTATTCGTACCTATCTATCTATCTAATCTCTCTTCATCTATCTATCTATTCGTACAATTCTATCTATTCTGTTTATGCTTTCTTCGCCTATCTATTCTGTCTATCCTCTCTCTATCTATCTATTATATCCTCTCCATATCTATCTATCTATTCTGTCTATCCTCTCCATCTATCTATCTATCTATTATCTCCTCTTCATATCTATCTACCTATTCTGTCTATCCTCTCTTCATCTTCTATCTATTCTGTCTATCCTCCCTTCATCTATCTACCTATTCTGTCATCCTCTCTTCATATCTATCTACTATTCTGTCTATCCTCTCTTCATCTATCTATCTCTTCGTACGAACATCGACCTTTCCTCTCCTTACTCGTTCCAATAGCAGCGTCGTCGAAGTTGAAGCTCTCGACGTAGCCTGAAGTCTCCGTGTAGTACTGAAGGCATCCGGAAGGTGCTGGAGGTGGGGGGGTAATGGGGTGGCACGGGTGGGTTTGGGGTGGGAGGGGGGGAGGGGGTGATGGGGGTGACGGGAGGGGGAGGGGGTGGGTGGGGGTGGCATGGGTGGAGGGATGGTGGGGGTGGCACGGGGATGGGGGGAAGGGTGGTGGGGGAGGGGGTAATGGGGGTGGGGTGGGTGGGAGGGGGGAGTGGGTGAGGGGTGATGGGGTGACGGGAAGGGAGGAGGAGGTGACGGAGGGGGGAGGAGGTGACGGGAGGGGGGGGGGATGGTGGGGTGCACGGGGGATGGGGGGAAGGGTGGGGGAGGGGTAATGGGGGTGGCACGGGGGAAGGGTGGTGGGGAGGGGTAATGGGGCGGCACGGGGGGAATGGGGTGAAAAGAGGTGGGTGTAATGGGAGTGGCATGGGGGATGACGAGTGGTGAGAGGTAATGGGGTGAAAGGAGGTGGGGTATGGGGGTGACATGTTATGGGGAGTAATAGGGGTGGCATGGGGGGTGGGTGGAGGTTGTGAGGAGTAACAGGGGTATGAATAATAAATGGGGAGGGCAAAGGACGTGGGAGTAAGGGGGTGTCGGGGTATATGGGGGGGGGGGGTATGGGATGGCACAGGGTAAAGGTAGAGGCAGGAGAAAGGGGAAGAAAATAGGAGGAAAAGGGGATAATCGGAGTGGCACGTGGAGGGGGGGGCAGGTAATAGAGAAAGCAAGGGGGGGGGGTAACGAAGGAGGCAGGGGGGGGGAGGTAGCGAGGAGGCAGGGGGAAGGGGGGGGGTTGGAGTTAATAAGAGAAGAGAGGAAGAGGGAGAAGCAGGAGGGGGACGATAAAGGAGACAAAGGAAGGGGGAAAGGATTGGGGAAGAAGGTGAGGAGGTGGAGGGAATAAAACAGTTTAGTTCATGAGGAATCAATTATTAGAAAATATAACCTTTTTTTAAGCTATGTAAATCATTTAAATTCGACATTATATATTATTTCGGGTGCAAGAAATAGAAAATACTTAGGCGGCAATGCGTCTCACCTCACAAAAAAACAAAAAAAAAAACGTTCTCTTTTACTAACTTCTTTAACTTCTTTACTCAAAACCTTTTATCTATAACCTAAAAAAAAAAAAAATATATATATATATTATATATATATATATATATATATATATATATATATATATATATATATATAAACGAATTCTTGGGCAGAGAAGAAATTATCCTCCCTGATCTTTTACAAAATTAAGTTACAATCCAATAAGTGGGAAAAACAAAAATGCTAAGCTAAAAAAAAAAAAAAAAAAAAAAAAAAAAAAAAAAAAAAACGCACTAGACCTAAACCCAAAAAGCTCCTTAACTAAAAAATATAAATA